CCAGGCCAGGTTGGACAGGGCTGTGAGCAACCTGATGTGGTTCAAGGTGTCCCTGCTCCTGCAGGGGGTTGGGCTGGGTGACCTCTGGGGGTCCCTTCCAACCCAAAACATTCTATGATTCTATGGCCAGCAGCTCCAGGATCGTGACCGATGCAGGAGGACGGATCAAACCCCGGTGCAGGGTGCGGAGGGAGGGATGCCAGCACCCAGGCTGCCAGCTCTCCCAGGACACCCCATCCTCACCTCCTTGTTGATGTCCACGTCGTAGTGCTGTGGCTCCAGCTCCATCTTGCGCAGCCGGGCGATCTCCTCCTGGGGCGTCTCATAGACCTTGCCAGGGTCATCGGAGCGCAGCGCTGCCTCCAGGTCAGAGATGTCCACCTCATGGATGCTGCGGTGCCGGCGTACCTGCGAGGGACCCCAGCCCCACTGAGGCCCCCCCCGGATGGCACGTTGTCCCCTGCCCCAGCACCCAGCCCCTTCTCCAGCCCCTAATGTCCCCTCTGTGCCATCAGGGACCTCGGGCACTCTGCAAAACAAAGGTCGGTTTGCCCCAGCCCCGCAGCCGGTGCAGGGACTCACCACTTTGTAGGAGGTGGTTGCCTTTGTGCCGGGGACGTCGGGCTGCTGGCTGCCGGGGAGCTGCAGGCTGCGCCGCTTCTCCTTCATCGAGCCGCTCTGGTGACGCTTCATGCGGTCGATCTGCTCCTCCACGCTCATCTTCACCTTCGTCTCGTTGGCAAACACTGCGCTCTTCGGCCTCTCCTGGGGAGAGCCCAGCCCACGGTCACGCATCCCTGCCTGCAGCAGGGTCCAGCCCCAGCCACCCAGTGCTGCAACCCTCTGAGACTGGTGCAGGCATGGTGCTGAGATAGCCTGGAGGGGTCCTAGATGCTGAGATGTGGATCCAGGCAGGGCTGGGCTCCCCCCTATGCACTGCCCCAGCCCTGCGGGCTGCGATGCAGCCCCCACTTTACTAGCCCAGCCCTTAGCCCCACCACGCTGGCCCCCAGCCCCTTGACACAAGCCCTACCCGAGAGCTGAGCCCGTTGGCCATGCTGCCGGTGCTCCTCCTTGGCACAGGGGCTGCGGGCACCACCTCCTCCTCTGCTGGAGACTTGGTCCTGGGGGGGACGATGCCCACTGCGGAGCAAACCAAAACACCAGGCTGAACACACACACCCCCCCCAGGGACCAAGAGCAGGGTCCCAGCAAGATGCCGGGTGCTCCTGGCAGGCACGGGGAGCCCGCTGGAGTGGGACCCACTGGCCCCGGGGCCATACCCTTGTTAAGAGCCGCTTGCTTCTCCGCCTCCTGCTCCTGCCGGCTCTGCGGGAGCCCCTCGGTGGGGGGCCCGTGGGGGGCCGGTCGCTGCACCTCCTTCTTGCTCTGCTCAAAGCTCGCCTTGGGCTGCGGGGGAAAGCAGGTTCCCAGTGAGACCCCGTCCTGCCTGGGGACCATGCTCTGCCTGGGGACAGACCTGCTGCTCTCTGCAGCCACGGGGTGACATACAGCCCGCAGACACTCTCCCGGGAGCGGACAGACACACAGACACCAGCCAGGCAGTACCAGTGCACCCCAAATGTGCAGGGAGAGGGGGCTGGCAGGGCTCTGCAGCTCTCGCCACCGCTATGCCCCAGCCCGTCAGGGCTGGGCACCGATTGCTGTCCCCGTAGGACAGGCTCCTGCGTGGCAAAAGCTTCCTGCAGTGGTGACGATCCTGCCACAGCTAGGAGGTGCTGAGAGCCCCAGGACAGGGACACCCTGCCTCTGTGCTGAGCTCCAGCAAGATCCCACATCCATGGGAGGGGACAGGGTCCCAGGGGGGCAGAACTCAGGGCAGACGCTGTGCGGCAGCGGAGAGCGAGCAAAGGGCCATTTTCTGGGTCCTTCCCTGCCTGCACCCCCTGGGCACCGCCCGCCCAGGGCCCGAGCACCGGTGCAATGGTGCTGGTACAATGGAGGGATATAGCAACAAGCCCAGCATGCCCCCCCTCAGCTGCCCTGGGCTCTTAGAATCATAGAATCACAGAATGGTTTGGGTGGGAAGGGACCCCCAGAGGTCACCCAGCCCAACCCCCCTGCAGGAGCAGGGACACCTTGAACCACATCAGGTTGCTCCCAGCCCCGTCCAACCTGGCCTGGAATGTTCCCAGGGATGGGGCCTCCACCCCTTCTCTGGGCAACCCCTGCCAGGGCTTCACCACCCTCAGGGTAAAGAATTTCTTCCTTAGATCCAGTCTAAACCTGCCCTGCTTCAGTTTAAAGCCATCCCCCCTTGTCCTGTCCCAGCTGGCCCTACTAAAAAGCTTGTCCCCCCCTTTCCTCTGGGCCCCCTTTAAGCCCTGAC